ATAACTGTATGAATACTGAAACAGTTGAAAAGGTACTAACAGAAATAATCTATTGACAACTCACATTAAAAAAATCATGGCGTACATATCATTGGATATGGCCAAGAAAGTGAAAAACTGGAAAACAGCCTTTACTCATCCATACACTCTGAGCATACTCTTATGAAGAAAATACAAATATGCAAATTAATGTTCAGATTATTACTTTGTAAGAATTATTCTCTCTATATATATTTGCAATAGTTACTGACATTTGTTCTGCCAGCTGAATTAAGGCTGCCACCCAGTGCATATTTTATTGAAAGTAAACTCCATCAGACCAAGCAGGATTGATGTCTGAGTGCACAGGGATTGCTCAGTGTATTTTAATTTCATCACACTGTATAACCTTCTAAAAGTTGCTATAAGCTTTCATATCTTTCAGCTAGTATTCCCTATCTTCAACATGGAAAATATTTTTAGAAACATTAAGCCATTCACTCTTTCAGCAACATCAAGAGGAGATAATTAGGCAAGTGTGTCCAACACAGAGATTACTGCTACAGTTAAGACTAAGTCAGGCCTGCAGACTTAACGGCTGACTGAGAAGAATGCAACTATCTCTTGGGGCTTCCATGTTTCTTGACCAATCCTCCTGCTTCATAAGCTCAGGGTTGGCAGCAAAACCAAACATTTTACTAAGGCTTCTTCACAATGCCTTCACCTCAGTCAATCTTCTCAGCGTCACCCCTAAGTACAATAATTAATGGGGCTTTGCAGCATTTTGGATCTGATCTTCCAAAGATACTTCAGAGTCTGAAGGAGCGGAAACATAGCCCCCATCTGCAACTCCTTAAAGCCACTGTGCCTTTTTTGCCCTGGCAACTTAAGGAGTTACAGACAAGGGCTACATCTGAGTTTCTGCACGTTCCAAAACACCTTTTGAAGATAACTCAAAACAGACAAGATGGCAGTTGGGGTGTCACGATCAAAGCCTTCCCTCAGTTGTATTTGTGTGTGCCATTGACAGAGATACCAAAGGGGCGGGGCTTTGATCTATCTTGCCCGTTCCGACCTCCTCTGAGGACATGCTCCCTAAAGTTAGGCAAGGCCACTGCTCATCTGTTCTTCTATGTGATCCAAAGGGCCACTGGAAGAGCCTGAATTAATTTCTTGTATTTTCCACAAAGTTTCTGTTTCGCGTGCCCTAAAATGAGGGTGGGCTGAGAGTTGCACGAGCCTTGTGAAAGGTGTGGGGAGCCTCAGGTTTCTAAGGCCAAATGGAAAGTGTGTGTGATCGAAGCGAAGACATGCAGAGTAAGACTCCTTTTTTTCCCCTTCTTTTTTTGCTATTCACATATTTTTCATGTTCTCTCCTCATCCATCTCCTCCCCTTCAGCAGCAGCTAAACAGGGAGCTGGTGGCCACAGGTGTACATAGGATGCGCACTCATGCCCTCCAATTAAAAACATGCATTTTGTTTCTCCATCTACTACAGTGTTGTCCAAACTTGGCCACTTTAAGATGAGTGGACTTCAACTCCCAGAATTCCCCAGCCAGCCATGCTG